AGCACCGTATAGCGAGCCTACGGAGGTCTTTGCCGTGCTCCGGGACGATCTAGTCTGTTTTTTTGTGAGGGCTCCACAAATGTTTTTTGATGCTAAAACTTTGCATGAACGTTAAATGTCTGATCAGACTTCACCCCTCAAAGTTTCAGATTTTTTTGACTTTTTTTTCATATCGTTTTGAATTTACTGTTCATGAGGGTGCCCCTGCACCCGGGAGCTGAAAGTCCAGTCTCTTCGCTAAGGGAAAGGTGTGACAGCTCCCGGGTGCTGGGACACCCTCATGAACAGTAACTTCAAAACAATATGAAAAAAATCGAAAAATTCTGAAATTTTGGGGGATCAAATATGATCAAACATTTGATGTTCTTGCAAATTTTCAGCCAGAAATAGCACTCGAGGAGCCCTCATCGAAAAAAACAAAATTACTGCTCAAAAGTACACATAACTTTGAACACTGATTTTGTTTTTTTTTGTGTGTGAGGGCTCCACAAATGTTTTTTGATGCTAAAACTTTGCATGAACGTTAAATGTCTGATCAGACTTCATCCCTCAAAGTTTCAGATTTTTTTGACTTTTTTTATATTGTTTTGAATTTACTGTTCATGAGGGTGCCCCTACACCCGGGAGCTGAAAGTCCAGTCTCGCTAAGCTAAACCATCAGCCACCGAATTTGCTTGCGAGAAACAATGTGTATAGATAAATTTGATGGGAAACGCTAGCCCTCACCTGGCTTATAACTCTCCTAAAAGAGTGAAGTCTGAAAAAAACCTTGAGCTCGTACGCCCTATCGAAGTTGAACCCTCACCTTCTAATCCCTGAAATCGGCACCCCATACTTGTCGATCCCGGTTAATATCGACCTTCAACCTGTTTGGCACACCGGGAAAAAGGCAATCCCAACTAGGTTCACCTGCTACTCTCACCGACAATACTAGGTCCGCGTGTCATATCCATCCCTCTCCTCTACCTCGTCCTCCCTGTCGTTCTCTCCTTTGTTGAAACGTCTGCGATAAGAAAAAGATGCGAGATGGCCAGCCAGAATTGAAGGGGCAGGGAAAGGTCTGGGAGCTTTGATCGTACTAGACACCGGAGGTGGTTGCCGTCGTGTGTGGCGTCGCCTCATTGGCGCTGTGGAGCGCCTAGGCCGCCGGCCTGCGCTCAACTTCCTAGGCTTTGTCATGGCCTGCCCCAAGATCCTAACTACTGAACTGAAGCATGGTTGATCGATTGGTCAAACTTGAAGATGCACGTACGCAAGTGTAGAGAAAGCACCTGATGGATCCTTGAGGCTAGCTAGCTTTCCACGTGCAGCAAACTACTATCCTGGATGCTTGGTTGATCTGGGCTTCTGGAGTAGCACAACTCGGCGGAACACTCATGCCCCGCGGGGACACTCTGCCTAGCCTGGACGCGTGCATACGGTACGGACGGTGATGTCCATGTGGATCTCGTGTTTCCCGTGCTCCATCCACCATCGTCGTTAGCATGTCGGGCTAGCTACTGCGACGACACCAGCCACACTCGCTCGATCAAGCACCACCGCCATTGTTGTCGTCTTCCTCATTTCCTCTCCGTGAAGCTGCGCTATGCAAGCTCTCGTGCGCTCAAACAGCTAGGTAAAGATGTTTCCCAGGGCTGCACGCCACTGGCCGGCCGGCAAGCCCCTCGTCTGCCGTCGCACAACCACTCCCGGAGCTGCACACGACACCAACATCACCGAGCTGCCACGTCGTTTCATTGTGTGTGCGTGCGTCATGCAGATGCAGATTGATGGATCTGACTGTAGCTCCACCAAGTTAGTGAGAGAAGAGGATGATCCCGGTGGGGATTGCGTTTTCCTAGTGCACCAAACTAGTCTAGAATTTTGCAAGGTTAGGATTGACCGGGATTGATGAGTACGGGGTACTGATTTCAGGGATTAAAAGGTAAGGGTCTGATTTCGACGGGAACTACGAGCTTGAGGTTTTATTTAGACTTTTCCTTTTCGAAAAAAAAATTAAAATAAACCTTGAATTTGTAATAAGAGTCTAAATTAAACCTTGACCTTCAATTCACTAAAATTGGCACCCTGTACTTTCAAATCCCGGTTGTTTTATGCTAAATGCTCGTTTGGCGCACCAGGAAAAGGATGACCCTGAGCGGGATCATACACTACTCTCACTGACTATAGGAGCCCATGTGTCATATTCATCCCCCTCTTACTCTCGTTGTCTCTTTCCTCCACGAGATCCAGCCCTGTTGTGGTCGCTGACTGCTCCTCTTCTTCATGTTCCTTTTTGGGGAGTACACAAACAAATGTTCCTACCACAGATTTAGCTCGAGAAGGAGCACATTGGTGACACCCATGGGGTAGGGAAATACATAGAGGAGCATCTTGGGAGCGACCACTACACGGGAAGGGTTGAATCTGGTAGAGCAGAGGGAGTAGGAGATGAGGCTCAGGGCAGGGGTTGTTCGATCTTCAGGAGTGAGATGGAAAACGGGGTCGGGGCCTTGGATTTGTGCGTCTGGTATGTAAATAGTAGGGGTAGAGTTGTGGGAGACGCCGTCGAGCCTCTGGTGGCGGCTGCACGTCAAAAAAAAATTCATGTGCTCCGCCTCTGGTCTAGCGGCTCGCTAGTGGATATGGTCAAGGTTGCGTGGTGTGTTTCTCAAAAAAAAAAAGGTTGCGTGGTGTGGTCAAGGTTGGCCGGTTCTCACCGGTGATGGCCTTGGGGAGTTTGCTTTTCTTTGCAAGGTTGGTGCTTCTTTTTCTCTCTTATCATTGTTCTAGTCTATGGGTATGGCATGCTTGTATGAGTGGGTTATGTACTGTCAATGATAGTATGAATACAAGCATGTTTTTTTCTCAAAAAAGAGAGGAAAAGGAGTATAATATGTGGGGCTATGCAGTTAGTGAGAGTAGTGTGTGATGATCCCGCTCAGGGTCATCTTTTTCCGGTGCGCCAAATGGACCTTTAGCACAAATCAGCTGGGATGGACAGGGATTTGCAAGTATAGGGTGCCAGTTTCAAAGATTTGAATGTCAGGGTTTAATTTAGACAGTGATTATGAATTCAAAGTTTATTTTAGACTTTTCTCTTTGTTTTTCTTGTTATTTTATCCTTCTTATTTTGAGGGGAAATCGTTGTCACTTTATTCAAAATTCATAACTCCGTCAGTAGCAATCTCCGAGTTGACACACTCGGAAGATACATGGAGCCAAGTTTTACATAGAGATCTAATACAACCTTCCCTAGCTAAGACATGTGCGACTTTATTTGCCAAATATCGCACCCAAGCAACCCTAAACTCCTGAAAAGATTTTAGTAAATCTTTGACCTCCTCAACTAGTTGCGCATAGTTGAGAAATCCTTTTGCACATTTTTGATCTTACTCACCGCCCCCTGAGAATCTCTTCCAAGGATCACCTTCTGGACTTGTAGTTCTTGAGCCAGGATT